ATGAAAGAGGAACTTCAAAAAGTTCTAGACAAACTAAAGCAGTGGGTCCAAGAATAGGATGGAATTTAATTCCGTCTGGGGGATACTACAGGACACTGTAGAGTAAATCAGCAATATGGAAAAGGTCTAAGTGAGGTATGTTCAGAGAGGTGCCTTACAAGCAGTTTGTTCTGAAATCATGCCACTTCAATTTCATCTTTCGGAGTTAGACTAATTGCATTTAGTAGGCATAATATTCTGTGTTCATCCCCAATTTTACTCCCCCTGTATTTACATGTTCCATGGCTTGACCAAGTTTGATTTCTTAACAGCTCCTGTCCCACCTGAAGTAACAGTTGCACCTGTGGTGACAGAGACCGTCCCTAGTAAGTCTGCATCTCAAATCCTCATTTGTCAATTTGGGATAATGGCTATTGACATTCTCTATATTATTCACATTACACATAGGGTTTTTAAGAACTGTTGATCAATTTACACCTAACAATAATCGTAGAGAGCCACAGAGGTGACCCTGGGGAAATTGGGCAGAGGCGTTGACCGTTACCTGAACAAAAGTTTCCTTTAAGCTCGGGAAAGAGCAAAAGCTTTAAAAAGAAGTCCAGATTATCTTCCCCCTAACTCTCTATAGCATGGAGGGAGGCAGGGAGCGCAAAACTCAGTCAGGCTTTCAAGATTGATATCAGCCCTTCAAAACAAGCCAGATCAGGAGACCAAGTGGGACGATAGTGATATAGGCCATAGTAACAGATTCCTGAAATCCTGACTGAAGACTCCCCTCCTTCCCTCTCATACTACAGTGGAGGAGTCAACTTGAGCTTCTTCCTCACCCTTTTGATGTTTCTAGAGCTTAAAGGAAGCTTTTGTTTATGTAACTGTCACTGTCATCTCTGTGGCTCTCCACATGAATTCATTTTTATTTTTACTTGCATGTTCCTGGCCGGCTATTTGTTGATCCCATGAAACCTAATCAATTTTGCTTTTTCCTATCAGAAGCTAAAGATACTTGTACCGTAATCAATAATAAGTCTGCATCCCAAGGTTTATTCAAATATATTTATTTCCAATGGGTATTTCTGATCATAACGTAATCTCCACGTGCTTCCCAAATTTAGTTAATGGAGGACTGCAGCCATCTTTTTCTCATTTCAGTTATGAGGAGAAATTCCTAGACTTATACAGTCAAATGCTGCTTTTTGCTCCCAGGAACATCTTTCTGTTTTTATATTGCTAAGTATGAAAATGGAGTCTGTAGAAATTCCTAAGTAAAATCATCTGAATTAGATCAAACAGGAGAAATATGTGTGTGTATACAGAAGACAATCATATCCAACCTTCTCTATAAGTGTCTCCAGTAAACATTTATTATCACAGTTTATGCTTTTATTGGTTAGTCCTCTTATAATTGAATATTAACTTGAGATCCAGGACAAATGCTGTGCTGAAAACCTAGTTTGTGAAACAAAATACATCTATGGTGAAAATGGATATGGAAACCGATTAACTAAGGGTTGGGCAAATGTGTATATTGTAAAAAGTTGGCATTTTAGTTATATCTTTCAATATTGTGAAACTGTTATAGATGGTGTTCCCCAATTCTGACTACACTGGGCATTTTTCAGATACTTTGCCTTAGATGTCTATATATACTACTTTATCTGCTATTTTTAAAATAAAAATATGCATAAAAACAGTGCACTATAGTTGCCATACAGATTCTGCTAGTTAATTGAGTTCAAAAGTAAAATAGTATATCAATGATTATGCCTCTGCTATATTATTCCAAATTACCAAATATTCTAGCTTGTTTCTGAAATGTCAGCATGGAAAACAATTATTGGACTTATAACTTGACTTATGATTTAATAACAAAACGAAATTAAGAGGGATGGATGGCAAGGGAAATATAATCTACCTTTATTTTTTTTATAGAAAATTCCTTTTGCCTTACATGCACAATATTTTGCTTTGTGGTTTCTAGCAAATCAGTGTGGGGGCACCCTCTCAAATGCATATGGGTCCATCTCTGGACCTTATTATCCTGGAAATCACACCAATGTGCAGTGTGTCTGGGAAATTCAAGTGAGGTCCTCTGAACGCATAGTTCTCAAGTTCTCTTTTATTAGGTAAGTTGAATTATTCTTTTAACTTTTTCTCTCTATCTATTTAATAAATGTGGTTATGATTTTGTAACCCCCCTAATATATTCAGGATGTATATCAACAACAATTACTACTCAAGAATGGACCAGACTGGGTTAACAGATATGATACACATCTGGGATGAGTAAAACTAACCAACTAATTCAACATTTACAGAATTCAGCTTGGTTCCAGTAAAATAATGTCTTTACAATTTTACAGTAAATACTCCTCTTAAAAGAGACTCTAAGTACTCCTTTTTGGCTTAATGTGATTATTTCTTTGTTAAATGATGGCATAATAAGAGATAAGGAATAAAATCTTAATCTATCTCTGTACAGTCTGGATTGTGATACAGAATATATTGAGATTTTTGATGGACCCCCATATGGTTCATATCCACTTGGAAAAATTTGTTCTGACATCTATCTCAACTATACCTATTCATCAACTTCCAACACAATGGCTATTGTGTTGCACAGAGATTCAGGTTATTCAGGAAATGGGTTCTCTGCTCATTACTACTCTGTTCCACAAGGTAAGAGTCTCTATTTCTCTAATTTGTTTAACCTGTATCATGTTAATGATGTAATTTAGGGACTCAATATAATTTAAAACCAGCATCTATTTAGTTTTATAGACATGTGTAGGGCCATTGGTTCATGTGAATATGGCATCATTTCTGCATCCTATCTACATATACAAAATCATCTTTACCATGTTTGAACTTTCTGAAGTTAAATGAATGATATTTCATTAAATGAAACAAAATAAGAACACAACCCAATGTAGCCATAATATAATTAATTGGAAAAGGCATTAGATGCAACACAGCAGAACACAACCCCATATCAAGATGGAGCCAAACTTGTTACTGTGGACCGGTTGTATCTCCACAAACAGAAGATTCCATAATTGGGGTGATGCAATAGAAAAGACTCTCTCTAGTTGTCACATCATGTGTTCAAGGTACTTGGAAAAATGCCTTCCTTTAAGTTCAAAAATAGAATGGCAAATGAGATGCAGATCTTTATTTTCAAGCCATTTAGGATTTCAAAAGCAAACACTAATCTCTTGAAATAAGCATCCAGTGCAGCTTTTTCAGAACTGGTGTAATCCTAGCTGTATTTACTGTATTTCAGCAGAAGCCTCATCATAAACCAGTCTCAGATGTTTTTAGTATATCATTGGATGAAAGGAATAATCAGCATGTTTAACGCTAATTGTTTTTATTATGTTCACAGAACCAAGTGGACTTACTACCACACCAGCTTCTGCTACTAATGATACAAGTAAGACAGTGTTCTTTTCCACTGACATTGTTTATTTAGGTGATGAGTTGTAAAGTGTTAAACCTGTCACTTGAGATCACAGTTAAATGTTAGCCCAGAAGAAGCCCCCAGGTTTTCTGCAAGTACTATGGCATGAAAGTGGTGGTGGTGGGGTGTTAATCCACTATATGATGTCAATCAGGCACGTTTACTTGCTTTGCAAAAAAAAAAAAAAAAAATGCATTAGAGAAGATGGGTTTACCCTTCCCTGCCCACCAGATTTGGATCACAACTGCAGTAGGGATAGCAGATTCAAGTTTTCCCTTGCTTTTGTTTAAAGATCTATTCATGAGTTAGTGCTGTCATATGTAGTGTGTTCTCGGAGTGGCCAGGGTCTAGCATTTCACTGTAATTTGACTAGAAAGTAGTTTCTTACCCTGCAAAGGATTGTATGCTTAAGATGTAGAAACATTAGGCTTTCACCCCTCGTATATCTAAAATCAAGCAAGAGACTAAAGTCATCAATTAGTACCATTAGATAGCACAGCAATCGTGAATATCATTTTGAGTGAATTTCAGCATGAGCCTAATCCAACGGTTCTATTCACAGACCAACGCTGCTATAATTGCTTAATAATTTAATGAATAGTTGATTCCAAATCAGCTTTCCTCTTAGATTAAGGTAAATCCCTCGGCACTCTCTAAAACTGGACTCAGATAATAGACTTATTTCTTTTTTCCTAAGAAGTCTACTTTTGAAATTTACAAAAGGCATTTCATTAGAAGTGCAGCAGTTTGAACATCTATCTCAGCAGCCCCTGAAATCTTCAGTTTTCCTCAGCAAATCTTACATTTATTTCCTTTATAGTTCATAGAGCAGTGTTTCTCAACCTTGGCAACTTGACGACGTACGGACTTCAACTCCCAGAATTCCCCAGCCGGCATGGCTGGCTGGGGAATTCTGGGAGTTGAAGTCCGCATGTCGTCAAGTTGCCAAGGTTGAGAAACACTGTCCTAGAGATATTAAAGCAGATTATCAGACCAATAGTATGTGACTTGTGTAATGAATTTGACATGTCAAACATAATTTTAATGTACAGTACTTGCCCATGGCTTTGTCTCATGCGTTTGGTTGGTAAGACCTCAAGTTGGGCCCCAGTGTGTGCTCTGACTCTAGATTCAGATTTATAGGGTTTCTTGGTTGCATGTGAACTTGTTATCCTATGGCCAAAATCCCGTATCAATAAAAAAGAAAAAGAAATATAGTTAAATATTTTAATATTCTCCTTGTCACTTTCATATTACAGAAAGGTATGTTGACTATTGTAAATTTACCTTTTAAATCACCAGTTTAATTAAGATTCTCACTTTTGTTGTGTTTTCATTTTCACAGTTTGTGTTACAGATTCAAGAAGTGTGGTTTTTCTTTTCTAAAATCTCAGTTGTGAAATATATTTGTAAGAATCTGAGGAATCCTAGAATCAGATGTACATAACTTATCTGGCCAAATTGTCTAATACTGTCTTATCCAACCTAGTGTGTTGGGACAATAGTTTGAGGAAGGTTTAAGCTCTCCATTTATCCTTTGACACAATTATGAAAAGATAGTAGGGATTTCGTTATATGAACTTGTGGCATGACAGTACAATTTACTTCTTAGTTTTGATTGGAATATATTATGACAATACAATACTATAGCTAAGTATTGTATTATGGGCAACCTGGTACACAAAGAAGCTACTTCAGGTAGGATATAGATTGTGAGCATTTTTTAAAATCAATCATGTAGTTTTCAGAGATAAATAGAAGTTTCCATCCTAGGTAAAGTAATACAAGTTTCATTAAAGCCAATTAGTTGTATTAATGCTTGTGATATTCCACGTCAGTTCAAAAATCCATGTACATATATATATTTTGAGAGTACAGTGATCAGCTTCTTTCACTGATGTTAAGCACTCCAAGAATTGATCAACTGATTGGATGGTTTGTAGTACTGAACTGTGAAGTGGTTATCTTAAAAAAAAAAAAAAAAAAGACACGAAAATTTATTTATCTCTCCCAGACACACTTATTCCTGAAAATAAGATGAAGTAATTTCATGATTGTTTCTGATGAGCTCACTTTCTTCATATGTATTTATTGATCTGGATACTTTTACTATCAGGCAAAGTGAAAAAGTCTCCCTTTCTGGCTAGATAGAAGAGGTATTCCTTAACTAGTTGAACTTGGTTCACAAACAGAATCAGGAATTAAAACAATATTAATGCTTAGATGTATTTGTATTTTGTTTAATGCTTCTCTGTGTTATCATTTAGGACTTTCATGCTCTGAAGGATACATGCGTGCATGGATCAGCATATATTATCTCAATTCAGTTGGCTATAATGCAACGCAAGTTTACCTGAACTCTTCCGATAGTTCATGTTTAGCTCAAATTACAAGAGATTATGTTTATTTTGCTATACCATTCTATGGTTGCAACACAGAGAGAAGGGTGAGAATTAATTGTTATTATCTGCTTTGTCTCTCTTCTTGCCTTAACTCTTTTCTTTCTTTCTTTCTTTCTTTCTTTCTTTCTTTCTTTCTTTCTTTCTTCCTTCCTTCCTTCCTTCCTTCCTTCCTTCCTTCCTTCCTTCCTTCCTTCCTTCCTTCCTTCTCTTTCTTTCCCTCCCTCCCTTCCTCCCTTCCTCCCTCCCTCCCTTCCTTCTCCTTCCTTCTCTTTCCTTCCTTCCTTCCTTCCTTCCTTCCTTCCTTCCTTCCTTCCTTCCTT